GGGCGGCGGTGTGCCTGGCAGGCCTGCGCGGCGCCCGCCCGCCAACGCTAGCTCTCCTTAACCTGTGTTCAGACCGAGGAACAAATCGGTTAGGAATTGGGCATTTTGCAATTCTTAAATCAGGACCGCTAGCTAGATGATCATATTTTTCTGTTCTGATTTCCCCCCTCCCTCCCAACGGAATCTATTAAGAAAAAATGGTTTTAATAGAGAAAGAGGAACTGGGGATGGAAAGGGCTTCTTTGTTCTGTCTTCTCCAGAACGTTACAAGTCTAAGAGCTCAGGACAAGAGCAGCAGAAATACATGCAACATGGTGACTGGTGAGTCCAGATTGTCCACATGCTGCAAGTTGTGTGTGTGTTTTCAGTAACCTCAGTCTAAGTTTTATCGACTAACCGTATGTGCTCATGATCTTAAAAGAGTTTCTTGAATTTATTTCCTGGAAAACGTAGGTACTTTGGGCAGGGAGGAATTATGTCCCCATATTGACGAAAGCTTACTGCTTGGACGCACTTACTTCATTTTTAAAATACAGTGTTAAAAACACATGCTGCCAAATAAGGATGGATGTTTGCTGTTTTTAACAGGTGCCTACTAGATCAATGGAATGCATAAATTGATATAATAACTAACAGTAAAAGTGGCAACTGCAGTGGTAAGCTGTGTACGGTGAAGTAAAAAAACCTATTGAACACACTTCATTGAGAACTTACCTGAATTTCCAGCTAGATCCGGTACCTGTCTTTCTGAACAAGGTTCTGTGAAATGCAGTATTAAGCAGTTCGATGCTTTTACTTGAAAGCTCCCAAGTAGCCTTCAAACTGACAAGAATGTATATGGTCTGTTCAGTCTGATTTCCCCCTCCGTCTCCTTAATTGCGTGGGTGATTCTGAAAGAAACTTAGTGCTGCCTACTCTTTTACCTGTAGCATCTTTATCTCCTTTCTCATTGCCCCTACTGAAGAGCAGATTCTTCCATGTTCCTTTATAAAGGAAATTCCTGTTGCTGCTCTGAAGCAGGGACTGTGCTTTATATACCATGTGGTTACACTGAGGTTCTAATCCGTGATTGGGACTTCAAATGCTGTAGTAGTCCAGGTAAGCATTTCACCGTTTTAGGCATTAGTGACTCTTGGTGTAATAACCTTATCTGCATAGCAGCTAGACAAGAGGGAACGAGAGATTC